CCTCTCCTGCCTGAAGTGATGCTCACCAGTGGCAGTGCCGTGGGAGAGAGAGGACTCTTGGGAGGCATGTCTTGCAACTGTGGAGGTGGGAGGTCTAGTTCTAGGCTCCCCTTCCCATGACATGCCCACTGGCCTTGCAGGGGGGTGCCCCCACCCCCTGGCGCACATGGAGCTCACTCCCCCCAGCTGGTACACAGCCCCAAAAAGGTATAGAGTATAAGTCATATATACAAATAAGAAAGAAAGAAAGAAAGAAAGAAAGAAAGAAAGAAAGAAAGAAAGAAAGAAAGAAAGAAAGAAAGAAAGAAAGAAAGAAAGAAAGAAAGAAAGAAAATTCCCCTTCAAGCCACACATAGCAAGAAAAGAAGTCTTAGAACAATCACACTGAGTTTTACCTTTATGGAGATGACAAAATGGCCACCATTCTTCAAGAAGTTGTGAGCATTTAAAGCCACAATACGTGACTGGTCAGGCTGAGCCACATCTGCAAATATCACATCCACCATGCCTGCAAGACAACAGATGAAATTGACAATTGGGTCTGAAAGCTGCTTACTAATCGGCTTTCCCCCCCTACCCCCTTAGGGGATAATTATCAGGGCAAAAAGCTCCCAAAGCCTATGTAGGCAATTTGCCCTCCCCTTCTTTCAGCATAAACTAGCATGGCCACTGGTCAGGGATTAGGGCAGTTGTAGTCTCCACGACAAGGCGAAGGCACCAGATTGGCTAATTATGTCTTAGAGCTGGGGTGGACAAAGGTGTGGTCCTCCACATGTTGCCGGCTACAGATTCCCAGCATTCTTCTCTGTTGGCTATGGGTTGATGGGAGCTGTAATCCAGTAATATCTGGATAGCCACTTTCCATTCCAGCTTTGAATTTCAGAATGTTTCACTGCCCCTCTGCTTTTAGCATTGAGCAACAGTTGTGAGGCTACAGCAGTGTTCATTTAGCTTACTTATTTACTTTGTTGCTCCTTGCCTTTTCTCCATGAAGCTCAAGGGAATGCACATGATTTTCCTCTCCCCTTGATTTTATCCTCCACCACCTTCTGTGGTAAATTAAGCTGGAAGACAATGACCGACCTTAGGCCAACCAGTGAGATGCACAGCTGATCAGAAGTGTGGACCCACATCTCCCCAGTCCTATCCCTACAGTAAGCACTATTCCTAGCTCATTTACATACATTAGGACAACCTCGTCCAAGCTTTCTCTCTCCAGGGTTTGGGTTCAACTTCCCTGATCATTGTCCATTCTGGCTGGAATGGATAAGACCAAGACTGTCTTCGGACAAACGTTGGCTCTATGGCTTGAAGAGCGGGATGAGTGCCGCCCCCTAGAGTTGGACACGACTGGACAAAAATTGTCAAGGGGAACCTTTACCTTTACCTGATTTTATCCTCCACAACCTTCTGTGGTAAATCAAGCTGGAAGACAATGACCGACCTTAGGCCAACCAGTGAGATGCACAGCTGATCAGAAGTGTGGACCCACATCTCCCCAGTCCTATCCCTACAGTAAGCACTATTCCTAGCTCATTTACATACATTAGGACAACCTCGTCCAAGCTTTCTCTCTCCAGGGTTTGGGTTCAACTTCCCTGATCATTGTCCATTCTGGCTGGAATGGATAAGACCTGCTAATGATGTGCAAATTTGTGATTTTTTTTAAACTACAATTCCCAGAACCCCCCAAGTAGAACCTCCCAGAACAGGGCTGCAACACAAGTCTGCACACCTCTACTCCATCTATCACATATGCTGGCAGGGACATGTGTTGCAGAGAAGGGATAAACTCTCACTTGTGAAGCAATCATCTACATGTGTGCCTAAGGCAAAAAATGAACAAAAGGCAGGAGAATGTGAGTGCAAGAAGTGGGCAGGTAAGTGGGTAGATGGGCACTTTTCAGCAACCGTGTCTGTCAGCCCCACCTTGTGCTGCCCAACCTCCATTTGTGGTGGTGGTGGTGCACACAAACTCATAAGGATACACACACGAAGAGAGGAGATGGCAGCAGCAGGTCCAGCAGTGCAAAATGCTGAGATAGATACTGAGTCAAGGTAAGCACACCTCTGTTTTTGGACTGATTCAATCCAGGTTATCTTCAGATATATCTGCGGTATCATATCTACTACTGTGGGCAAGAATCCCGCAGAAGGAATGGAGTAGCCCTCATAGTCCACAAAGGGATGGGAAAAGCTGTACTGGGATACAATCTCAAAAATGATATAATGATTTCAATACGAATCCAAGGCAGACCTTTCAACATCACAGTAATCCAAGTTTATGCACCAACCACCAATGCTGAAGAGGCTGAAATTAACTAATTCTATGAAGACTTATAACACCTTCTAGAACTGACACCAAAGATGTTCTTCTCATTATAGGGGATTGGAATGCTAAAGTAGGGCATCAAGAGATAAAAGGAACAACAGGTAAGTTTGGCCTTGGAGTTCAAAACAAAGCAGGGCAAAGGCTAATAGAGTTTTGTGAAGAGAACAAGTTGGTCATCACAAACACTCTTTTCCAACAACACAAGAGGCAACTCTATACATGCAAATCACCAGATTGGAAATACCGAAATCAGATTGATTATATTCTCTGCAGCCAAAGATGGAAAAATCTATACAGTCAGCAAAAAACAAGACCTGGAGCTGATTGTGGCTCTGATCATCAGCTTCTCATAGCAAAATTCAAGCTTAAACTGAAGAAAGTAGGAAAAACCACTGGGCCAGGCAGGTATAAGATACACCAAATCCCTTATGAATACACAGTGGAAGTGAAAAACAGATTTAAGGAACTCAATTTGGTGGATAGAGTGCTTGAAGAACTATGGATGGAGATTCGTAACATTGTACAAAAGGCAGCAACAAAAACCATCACAAAGAAAAGAAAATGCAAGAAAGCAAAGTGGCTGTCCAACAAGACCTTGCAAATAGCAGAGAAGAGAAGGGAAACAAAATGCAAGAGAAATAGGGAAAGTTACAGAAAACTGAACTCAGACTTCCAAAAATTAGCAAGGAGAGACAAGAGGGCCTTCTTAAATGAACAATGCAAAGAAATAGAGAAAAATAATAGAAAAGGAAAAACTAGAGATCTGTTCAAGAAAATCAGAGATATTAAAGGAACATTTTGTGCAAAGATAAACGTGATAAAGGACAAAAATGGTAGGGACCTAACAGAAGCGGAAGACATCAAGAAAAAGTGGCAAGAATACACAGAGGAATTATACCAGAAAGATCTGGATGTCCCGTACAACCCAGATATGTGGTTGCTGACCTTGAGCCAGACATCCTGGAGAGTGAAGTCAAGTGG